TACTTGAAAAGCTGAGGTGAGAGGATGGCTTTAGCCCAGGAGTTCTTGAGGTTGCAGTGAGCTGTGATTGTGCCACTGCACCACAGCCTAGGCAACAGAGTGAGAACTTGTCTCAAAAAAAAAAAAAAAAAATTAAAAATAAATGAAGTCTAGAGAAAAGTATTCCAGGTCTGGAGAAGCATCTTCAAAAGGTCGTCAGAGGTCAATCTTTCTTTTGGTTGTGCTACACCTGACTTCCATCCTTAAGGTCCTTCCACCCTACCTAGTTCAAGGTGACAGTTGGAGGACCAGCTATTACCTCTGCATTGAGAAAGAAAGGCAGAAGAGCCAAAAAGAGCACGTGCCTCATACCATTTAACTTTTCCTGAAGTTTCACATAACTCTTCTCTTTAGCACATATTAAAAAAATTGAGGGTCTCAGGGAAGAAGGGAGAATGGGTATTTTAGACTAGCTAGCATTTTCTGTCACATGGAGGTATGTCATCAGGTTTTGATTTGTAAAGATTTCCCTGGTAGAGGATGGAGGATTTGTTGAAAGGTGTATGAAGCCAGCAGAAACGAGTACTTCACAGTTTGTTTAATGTTTCCCATCACTGACATTGAGTAAGTGTAAGCGCTCGTTCTAGCTTGATTCAGTTGGATCATTGGGGTGCAGGTGTGCCATATTGCACATGATACCTGCACATGTAACTTCCTGATGGGATTTAATGTAGACTGCTAGGGTGTCTCTAAGGGTCTTCAATGCATTTGAGATGAGGAATGGAGTTGAGTTATATCTTCTGTGATTTCACTTTTGGGTGCACTCTCTACTTGGAAAAATCTCACCTGCTTTTAAAATATTTTTCACCCTTTGAATAATCTTAAAGGTAACTTTTATGATGTTTTCTGCTTTGACTTTTTTTGTACTAACATTAGTGTTCTGTAAAATAAACTAAAAGTCAGCGCTGTTTTTACCTTAATTTTATCCTTGATTGTGTATTTAAAATAATTATTTGTGAAATTATTTAGTACTTCAGGTTTACATACCTCGTGCTGAGAATTTTGCTCAGTATATATTCTGAGCATTTTCAGAATCACTATTGTTCATGTCGTTCCTTACCTTTGAAAGCTCATTATCAGCATTACATAATTACTGGTCTTTGCCTCCTAGGACCTATACTATTTGTACTCTGTGTGATGATAGTGAGAAGCAGAGATGTGTGCCAATCATGATATTGTACCTCTTGGGCTCTTAAGTTCCTAGCAGAAAGAAATTCTGTCAGAGAGAGAATATGTAGTTTGAGCAGTGCAAAGAAATAATGTTATTCTACTGTTTTTCAGAAATGAAAGAACCAAATTTTTTAAGTAGTTATGTTTTTACCATAAAATACTTTTGGGTTGATAGGCACAGCAACCCACCATGACACACGTTTACCCATGTAACAAACCTGCTCATCCCACACATGTACCCCAGAACTTAAAATAGAAAGATTCTTGAAGTTTCTGGCTGCCTGCATGACATAGTAGGTTTCTAAGTTTAAGTGAGAGAGAGAGAGAGAGAGAGAGAGAGAGAGAGAGAAGGAGTATCACATGTGCACTGGGGATCAGGAATGGGAGAGAAGCCTTGCCTTGTCATCATTGAGTTTGCATACCCAGGCACATGGATCCGATTTCAGAATGCACATGAAATAATTTCAATAGTAACATGAAAATGCTTTTAAAAGATGAGGCAATCAGTCATCCTGGATATTTTTATTCTGTGAAACCTGGCTTTTAGAGCTATTTTTGGCATCTGGGCAGCTTGCTTACTATGTTTTGTTGAAGCAGAAGGGGGCAGCAGAGAAACCAATTAGAAAGCTACCATCTGAGTTGGCTTCCTTCTAATAGAAGGTGTTGTGCAATATAAATATACTAAAAGGAAATGAAAATGGAAAGTAATAGCTTTTATTTATTAAATTCTAAAAATGATTGCAAAACATTTTCAGATAACATCATGCAGATTTCTGCTTGTCCATTTATACAGATGTTGCGAAGTGGATATATTTGTATGTTTTGTTCTAAGATCCGACATGCAAATGTAGAGTGGATCATTTGTAATTAAGTACAGCTTTCAGTGGGGCTTGTTTTCCACTGGATATCTGTGTGTTTATAGAAAAGCAGATGCTCCAGTGGGTTTTTGCAGTTCATTCTAATATGTTTATCCCCTTTAGTCAGAGTTTTTAAGGAAAACCACTTCATTTCTTGTTAAAATTAAGCAAAGTTAATGCCTTTTGACTGAATTTTGATTTTGGAGTCAGTTAGTGATCTAATTTTTTGTTTGTTTTATTTTTAAAGTATTACCTGTGAAAAATTTTCCATTAGTTGAAAGGTCTAAGCTGACTTATTGGTTTCATGCCCTTAACCTTTGAAAACGTGGTAATTAATTGAAGCAATACTATTTTTCTGTAAAGGATGGCTAAGTCATGTTGAGGGGCCTGGCTAACTATATTTGCTATGTATGAAAGCTCTTCTATTTCTCATTAATATTCTGTGTTTCTTTTTCTGTGATTAAGGGCAGTAAGATACCATAGCTGAGGAGTTCTCACTGAAAGCTAGTCTGGTATTTTGTTGTATTCTATGTTTAAGATAAAGGACAATGTTTAGTGGTTAACAGGATTTACAAGTGAAAAAGGGAGTCATAAAGTTACAGTATCTTCCTCTGCAGGAGAGCCAGTGAAGATAAAGCTGCAGTTCTGTTCCAAATCCATTACGTGTGTTTTATATTTTGGTAAATTTAATCTCTTGACTTCTTTGGTACAGCTCTGTTTTATAAGATAAGCTGTGAAAGAAACCTCCTGGATGTGATTTACAAAGTGAGAAGTTAACTGTTAGCTATACTCTACTGGTAAGGATTTATAGCATGGCATAGTATTTAGCAGAAAATAAGTGTGTGTGTGTGTGTGTGTGTGTGTGTGTGTGTGTGGGTGGGTGGGTGTGGGTGTGTGTCTGTGAGTCTGTCTCTCTCTCTCTCTCTCTCTCTCTCTCTCTATCTCAGGGTGCTTGAGGTATAGGATTACAGTTAATTCTTTTTTTTGAGACAGAGTTTTGCTCTTGTTGCCCAGGCTGGAGTGCAATGATGTGGTCTCAGCTCGCAGCAACCTCTGCCTCCCAGGTTCAAGCTGTTATTGCGCCTCAGCTTTCCGAGTAGCTGGGATTACAGGCATGCAGCACCACGCCCAGCTAATTTTTGTATTTTTAGTAGAGACAGGGTTTCACCATGTTGGCCAGGCTGGTCTCAAACTCCTGACCTCAGATGATCTGCCCAACTCATCCTCCCAAAGTGCTGGGATTACAGGTGTGAGCCGCTGTGCCCTGTCAGGATTACAGTTAATTCTTGCTGAAAGCATTTAGTGACTCATCTGGTCTTATCTCTTTCCCATGCTAGTCATCTCATTCTCTCTCTGTATGGTGGTTGTTATTTGATGAGTGCTAGTTGTGTAAAAGTAATATGTCTGATTTCTTCAAGAACCATTTTTTCTGTCATCTGTGACCTCATCTGTGACATTGGGGGACAACTGACCAGTGACAGTTTGCAGCCGCCCAGTGAAACCATAATACGCTTTCCCTGAATGTGTATTTGTCCTCTTGAAGCTGTAACTTTGGACTGAATGCCAGGTGTTATTTTATCTTTTACTAGATATTTTTGTATCCCTGAAACTGTTCTTGAGGTTTTTTTCCTGGAATACAGTGAAGTTATTTGGAAACAGTTTTATTTAGTGTGTGTAGGAGTCTTGCTTTTCACATTTCTTGGGGGAGACCAGAGCAGTATTCAGTGTAGGGCAAGTTACTGAGGCAAGACTCTTTGGGTCTTCTATTTAATACCCCTTGAGCCTTGAGGTTTTCTACTTTGGTTGATGGGAGCAGGCACTATTCTTGGTCTTATTTGAGTACCTGCTACTGTTACCTCTGACTCTTTCAGTTGCTCCTGTCCCTAGCTTCAGGTAGTGTCTTCACGTGCTTGTACTGATTAGTACTCCATTGAAAATTGAAGGTTGACCTTTGGCAGATTTTTAATTCTCTGCCTGTGCAGTTCTTTCCTCTCTAGTATTCTGACCTGTAAAGTCTAGCCTCTTTGGCCTCCCTGTACTCTCAACTTTGTCACCTTAACTCAAGGACTCCTTCAGGCTCCACCTTGCTTCTACCTGTTATGTGGCTGGCTAGGCAGGCTTCATGGGCAGTAAAATAATTTACTGAAACAGTAGTGAGTTAAAACCAAGTTTATTAGAGGGAAAGTACATTGCAAGGTAGCAATGGGCAGCACAGCAGAGAAGAGGCTGTCTGCCAAGAGGCAGGGACCGAAGGGACGTTTTATAGGACCATGCCCGGAGGGCTATGTGCAGATGGGATTGGGCTGCTGGGGCTACATGCAGAGCAAGGTATTTGGGAACAGGATGATGTACAAGTAGGTTGTTTGTGATTAGCTGTCTCTCAGAACAATTGTTCTCCCACTTCTGGGGCCGGCCTCCTCCTTGTTGCTAACTTACCTTAGCAGGACTCCACACTACCTACCTTCACTGTGGTCTAGAAACTTTCTTAATCAGTAAATTGGGGCAGTCCTTTTGTTTATTTCCCAGTCTCACAGTGATTGCTGTTCTTGTTCAGTATCATGAAAACCACCGGACGTTGGTGTTCACATGCAAGGGTAAATCCAGTTTCCGTTATTACATCCTGGCTGGTCACTGAAGTGTCTCTCTATGAATTCTTAAAATTGTCCCCTGTCAGAGCCCATCTGAAATTAGTGTTTTCTCTCTTTGCGATAATGGAGTTCTGTTAGTGCTGCAAATCTAAGTTGTAGGCTTCACTATGAAAAACTGCATAACGTCCCCAAGAAATACCATCACCAATCTGCCTGGTGGTCTTCTCTTTCTTTTGTGGATTCCTAAATAGGTTTACAAGGAGTGCTAAGAGGATGGCCACACTTAGTCTTACTGAGGATGAGTCAGCACAGAATCGGAAGCCTGCAAAAGAGTACAATGAGTTGGTCATTTCTCAGCACATACGTTTATTGTTACCCATACCCTCTTTCTAAAAGATTCGATTATGAGGTTGTAAATTGCCATACTTTAAAAGTCTGCCTATGTTCCAGTCATGACCATTCAGATGCGGAAGAGATAGGATGAGCAGGAAGCAGATGCTTTTGTCCACAGGAACCTCATTCTCTGTGGGAGAAACAAATACTGTGCAAATAGAAAGTGATAATACAATGTGATAAACTACAGCTTTCCCATTTAAGGACGTTTAGAACACATCCTCTTTTACTCCTTGTACCATTTTAACAAAAGCAGTGCAGTACTAAAATGATACTTTTTTATACTTTGGATTACTTGGTAAAAATGAAGTTCTCTTTTTTATCTGTCAGCAAACATCTAAGAGCAAATATTAATTTAAACATTTCTTCTTACCAAAACTAACTTTATCTTCATGTAACACTTTTTAGTAATTTACCTAGTTTGTAGCTGTCTAAATAGAATTTGCTGATGCTTTACATATTTTTTCAGGTTGCTGATAAATCTTATTCTACTAAGTGAAAAGCAATTCTAAGCCTTGATTCTTAAAACGCATATTTCCCTTGGCAGCAATTCTAGTGGAAAATCTGGGGTTGTCTCTTTTTATTAAATTTATTCTATTTTTGTGAAATAATTCTAAAAAGTTTGGTCTTCATTAGTGTTTTTAAACATCAAGAAGCTGAATTATTTCTGTAAAAATATACTGGCATTTCTGTTTTATAAGGTAGCATTAAATGAAATGGTTTCCTTTCTTTTCCAAGTATATTTTAAAAAGTACATTAGTGTAGTCTGTTTTTTATTTTTATTTTTTGCTTTGTCTTTTGATGGTGAAACAAAATATTACTATTCTAAGCTTGGGTTTTCAAAATACACATTATTCACAGTGTAAATTATTCAGTAGCCTTGTCTTATAGGAAATGAAGGAAGAAAAACTGGATTCATTTAGCTCTGATCCCTTTTTTGTTAGCAATTTATGTGTATAACCAATAGATTTCTCCTGAAGAAAACCTAATTATTAAGCTAATTTAGGAGAATTTAGTAAAGAAATGATTTGGAGGAAAGCAAATAAAGCAATCAAAATATACAATAATTATACCCAAATTTTAACATAGATTTATAAGAACATGTTACCACTTTTAGCCAGGTGCGGTGGCTCAAGCCTGTAATCCCAGCACTTTGGGAGGCCGAGGCGGGTGGATCACGAGGTCAAGAGATCGAGACTATCCTGGTCAACATGGTGAAACCCCGTCTCTACTAAAAATACAAAAAATCAGCTGGGCATGGTGGCACGTGCCTGTAATCCCAGCTGCTCAGGAGGCTGAGGCAGGAGAATTGCCTGAACCCAGGAGGCGGAGGTTGCAGTGAGCCGAGATTGCGCCATTGCACTCCAGCCTGGGTAACAAGAGCGAAATTCTGTCTCAAAAAGAAAAAAAAAAAAAAAAAAAAAAAAGAACATGTTACCACTTTTAAATTTCTTTCAAAATTGACAGATTCTGAATTTTTTCGTAACTGTCAGTGGAAATCCAATGGGAAACAGCTCAAATTTTGACAGCCTCAGGAAAATGGATGGCTTCCTCTTCTGAGTGGTGATTGCTCTTACCTTTTGAAGAAATTATCTCAAAGTATAGATTTGGAGAGAGTTAAAATATGCAGTATAGCCTTAATCTATTGAAAATAAGTCAGTCATTCTACGAATTAAACACTTCAGCATTAAGAAGGTTGCTGTGAAGGGCAGAGTATAGAATATAATTTGGTTGCTACTTTTGCTAGCTTGGTGGCTCTTGAGAAATCTTTAGTGAACTTACCAGTTTCATGTTTGTAGGGAGTATGCATCTATCCAGGATAAGCATCCCTCACTGAAAAACTAGAATCCTTTTCAAGGTTAAGCATAATGTAAAACAAGTAATGTTGCTCCAAAATGAATTTCTGTGCAGTCTGTATGAATTAACAGTTGACCAATAAGCAGCTCTGGAAGTGTGTCATAAGCAAGGTCTTGTATTAGCCATAGACCGGGCAGACTTACTGCTGACTGTACTGTTTACTTCACATGGTGAAGTAGTCTGGGAGAAAGCACTGTTATTGGTCTACTCCAGGTAACTGTCATTGTGGTATTACATAAACTAGCAGAATGCTGTGGGATGCAAAGGGGACGTACAGCGCTTTGGTGATTTGGGGGGACTTTTGCATGCCCTTGTAGGAGTCCAGAAGGCAGGATCTTATAGTTTAGTATTAAGCTGTGTAAAAACATTATCACATGAATGAAACCAGGCTTCCTGAGGCCAAAGAGCTCATACAGAGGAAAGACACACACCTTGAGTAGACTTCTTTTTCAGCAAAGATATCCAGAAGAAGAGTGTTAAGGCAAAGCAAAAGACTCTTCAGACTGCGCTCAAGTCTGTCTTCGTAGGCATTTCTTGCTTGTATAACATGGAAAGAACCACTGCTTGCTCAGTGTGGCTTTTTATTTTGCCATACTGGACCACGTGAGTAGCCAGTGAGATAATTTATTCTTGAGTCAAAATAAGAGGGCATTAAGTTTAGTAGAACTGAAGTTGGCACTGGCAAGACCAAGTGCCATATGGGATCCCTTGGAGAGCATCACTGGTTTGAAAGCACGTGGATTCTATTTGGAAAAACCTAAGTATGTGAGTTGCCTTCTTTGGGGCATGCAACTTATAATGAGCTCTTGCAGAGGATTTGAAAGCCCACGGCATGTTTCTGTTATATACTATATATATATATGCTATACTAAGATATTATGCATGGGTCAGGGTCCTTGGTAAGGCTCACTTGTCATTTCCAACGTAGTTTATATTTGTTTCTCTTTGCACAAGGATTTGGTGATTTATCTTATGGACAATGAAAGCAGAAATGTCCTAATGAAGAGTTTTCTCCTAAATTTAAATGAGAAATATATAAAATCCTAAATTCTATTAATATTCATGGTTTAGAAACCTTAACATGGAACTATAGTACTTTTGAATTCATAGGTATAAGGAACATGGCTGCACTGCAGCCAGGCAGGATAGGCTGAGGTAAACATCCTGGGTGACTCAGAGAGTTTGTAGCATAGGCGCACAACTCCAAATATAATATAAACACAGCTATGTAGCCATAACATGGGAAGGCCGTAACTTGGCTCTACGCCACTATTGTCTGTAAAAGGTATAATTGCCCTGGTGGCACTGTACAGGCACACTTGCACCCAAAGAAAGAGAGAGCCAGATCTGTTCATCTTGCAGCGGGGAGCCAGGACACAGCTCAGCTTGCTTGTGCCCAGAGGGAAAGAGTTAAGCTGCTGATCCCGAAGGGAGAGCCAGCAGAGCAGCTGTGCAGGGAGTGGCTGGAGCAGACAGTTGAGACAGAGACAAACTGTGCTAGAGAGCTGCTGAATAAAACTGTGTTTCACCTACCTATGGCTCCCTGAGTGTTCTTTCAGCTATCTGCATTCATCCACCCACTCCCAATGGATGTCTGCCTAGGCTGGAACCTGATCCTGGACCTAACTGTAGGGACCTTAGGGACCTAAGAGATCATCTAATTGAAGTCATTGCAGATGAAGAGACTGAATCCCCAATGGCTAAATGACTTGTCTAAGACCACACATCTAGTTAGATGCTGAGCCAAGAAAGAACCTAATTTCTTATTTCTAGATGTACAGCCCTTACTCAGTGGCATGTGCTGTAGTTCACAGATTCCGTTCACTTGTTGCCGAGGTCTGCCACTTCCAAGAGTTTGCCAGTTTTGGTGTAAGTGTACGTTGCCAAATGAGAAATAGCTTGGATTTATAACTGAAGAGACATTATCCATTGTGGCTGCGGCTGAAGCACCAACTTTTAACCAATATTACTACTGCTTATTTCAGCTCCTATCCTTATCTCAAATAATTCTGCCTTCCTGTAACATGATGGGGGGTCCTGGGAGCCTGCAAAAAGGACTCACTTACTCTGAGGTCTTGGCCAGTTCTCTGCTTCTTCCTCCTTGTTCTCAGATGGCAGACTGACATCCTCACAGTAAGACTGGGCTGCTTTCCATCTGCACAGCCCCATGGTAGGTACCTGTAGCTCCGGAAGGAATTTATTTCAGTAAAATAGACAGACCTGGAGACCAGGAGATTGGTCATCTGTAGTTTGGTAATAATTGAGAACTAGGTCAGAGGGTTCTATTTCTTGTCCCATGAGAGCAGGATGTGTGAGGCTGTTCTTGATGAAAGCTGAGGTTTTAAATGTAGGTTAATGGGTTTCTTGGAAGCCAGCAAGCAATTAAGGGTTTCTCATCCATAAAGAAATTATAGCTACAGGGGGGCAGTTTTTTTTTTTTATTCCTTTAGACTCTTGGAACATACTTTATTTATTTATTTATTTTTCCTTAAAATCTGATCTTAAACTTAAAAATAAGTTTGTTAATACTAATGTTGTTTTCCCTTGAGCTAGCTTCAAACCTCAAATGAATTGCAAACTGCAAAGTGACTGCTGTAGGGCTACTCTTAAGTAAATTTGTATAGTTGAATGGTAAGGGATCCATTTATAAAAAATATTGTATGTGGGCTGTTTCCAGGACTATGACAGTATTTCTTTATTAAGACTAAATATATTTTTACCTTTGTAACATGGTACAGCTCCAATCAAATAGGCAGTAATTTTCTTCATTAGAGTAGCATTTAGAGTGTTTCGTTCATCAAATTTTTATGAAATGCAGTCTTTGTGTCATTCATTGTGGTAGGTTCTGAAAGGTGATTAAGAAATGGTACCTGAACTCCAGGAGCTTACAGTCTAGGAAGAAAAAAGACAAATAAAATTATACCAATATATAATGAGTTCAGTTTCATGGCATATGAATAGTGTTGTAGAGACACAGAGCAAAGATGTAACCCTACCTAGAGGCAAAGAAGACTGCACAGAAGATGGTGCATTAGAAGGAAGAGGAAGAATTGGCTGTACCAACTGGAGAAGGGGAAAGGACCTTCTGAGAAAGAGAAGAGCTTGTGCAAAGAAGTGGAGGCCTGAGGGAGGATGGTGGTCTGCAAATACTGAGTTCAGTGTGTTGTCTTTGTCGTAGGTTGCTTGTGGGAAATAAAGCCAGTATTTGCTTTGCTAGCTGGACTAAGCTGGGCTATACTAAGTTGTCTGACCTTTATCCTGTACCCAACAGGAACTACAGAAGGTTTTAAAGAAAAGGAATGAAGTCAGATTCGTGGTTGAGAAAAATATTCTAGTAACTAAGTGGTGAATAGAATGAAAAGTGGGGAGGCTGATTGGGAAGCATTTATAATAGAAGGGTATAGGGCAAGTAAGTATTGGGAAGCAGGCAGTGATTGTGATGTCAGAATCAATTTGAATGGTGTTTAAGAGGTAGATCTGGAACTCAGTCAAGCAAAGATTGTTGAAGAGGATGAGCTTGAGAGACTGGATGGATTTTGGGAATGTTAATTATGGGAGGGTATAATCTCTTAATGCTCTTTTAAAGATTTTGCTCTTTCCTTAGTGACAACTCAATAAAGTTATTATTGTTCAGAGATTACGTGATTAAGTTGACATATACATATATGTTTTTTCTTCAAATTTGGCTGTTTGAACCTGTCTCTGTGGTATAAACACTAATTCCTTTCTAGATTTATTTATTTGGAAGTTTTTTGGTCTATAAAAATTACTCTGAAAAAAAAATTACTCTGGTGTTTCTGGTCTTGAGTTAAATACACTTATAATTGCCATCGGGGTTCCCGTGGCATCATCGCAGCTGGAGGTCTGGTGGGCTTTTGTAAATGGCATTTGGAAGAGGGATTCGGCCAAAGCATTAGCAGTCTTTTGTATTGTTTCCATCTGCTTTTTGTCTAAAGAGACAAGTGCTGGGATTTTATTTATTTAATAAACTTTGTTTGAATGAGCTAATTTCCCCACTGTCTGGAATTACTAAGGGAAAACATGAGCGTTTACTTCAAGGACTTATTCTATCCATTCCTTACTTGAGTGGGAAGCAGCCACTTCTGTAGCCACCAACTACCTGATATTCTAGTCTTTTCTGTGATTAAATTAGAAAAATAATCTCTTTGTGAACTTGTCTGCTTTTGGCATGAGGTCACATATTTAAAGAGCAATCTGCAGTGAGATATGTTGGCCCCATTTTCTGTTTATTTTCTAAAGAAAGAAAAAACAGATACATTTACATTGCAGAATTCTTTTTGAGGGCCTGTTGTGTGCCCAACTCTTGCATGACTTTCTTTTATTTCACATTCATACTAACCCTACTTGAGAGTTGTTTTTCCCCTCACTTTGCTGTTGAAAACAGTGTTTCAGAGAGTTTAAGGAATCTATACAAGTCCCATAGTAGTTAATATTAGAGGTTGTTTTAGACTCAGGTTTTCTGACATGAGACAGAAGCTTTGAAACTGTCTCCATTGCCCCCATGGCTCCACATAGAACAGAGGGCTTCCAGATGCTGATAAAATTGATGAAAAGGGAAGGTAAAAGACTAGATGTCAGCTGGAAGGTGTGGCAGTTGTGCTGTGAAAACCCACCAAAGGGAAGATGTTTCAATTCTTCTTTCACTTAGGATGGAAATCCTCAGTGACTTATGGCACCTGAGTATATCAGGACTTCT